AAGATACCTAACTAAATACGATAATAATATATGCAAATGATACTATATCTCAAAAGAAAATAACTTGCACTAGTGGGATTGTCCTGCAAACAAAACTAGCATTCATCAAGTTATAGAAGAACAAGTCACAAAAACTTTTAACAAATATGAATGCATGGACATAAATATTCAAAACGAAACAAAAAATATATTGCTCACTAATATTGATTCAAGTTCAACATATCAAATATATTCTTGTCAAGGATATATAACTAAATATATTATTAATCTTATAGATACGAACACAAAAAAGAATTCAAAACATAAAGTATCTGAAATCTTAATTCACAAAATTATCAAAAATATATACAATAAGATTTGGCTACCTAGATGTGCAAAAATAAACGACTGAAACAACAAAGACCAGCTCCCCCAATATACAGTTAATCAAGACTTGAACATATTACAAGAATCTATTGAAGATCTACCTGAAGAAAAACTAAATAGAATAATAAATAGAATTAAATAATGGTCAGATAAATTTCAAAACCCTAATAGCTTTCCAAAGTCTATCTTTAATTTCATAGACTAGATGAGGTCTCCGGCCTTCTCTAGCAGAGCCTAGGCTGAAGGTAAAGTAGCCCTAGCTTTTAGTTTTAGGAAACAGTCTGTAATAACTATAATGTATATAACTTTACAGTTGTTATAAATAAAAACTGAGACAAGGCCTCCCTCTATAAAAAAAAAAAAAAAAAAAAAAAAAAAAAAATTAAAGAAAAAAAATGATGAGAGATACTAAACAAGAATTCAAAAACAGAATTAGAAAGCTTTCAAGAATATTCTTAAAAGTTGTTATAAGCAATACTAAAACTCTGAAGTAAACTACTTATGATTGTTTAAAACTAAATATATTGAAAATCTTCTCTCAACTATTGAAATCTTAAATTGTAGAAGACTCTAATTATATAAAAACAGCTTATACATTAGATGTTTTAAGAAAAAAGAAATGATTGAGTATAGGTCTAGTAATATTAGTATAGTGGTTAGATTATTAGACTGCTATACAAGAGGTTTAGGGTTTAAATCTCACTGTTGATGAATTTGAATAATTACTCAGACCTTTGTATTCAACTTATGATAAACCCTGTTTGTTTCTAGAGTTGTAACTTTGTAAATTACATTGCACCAATATTATTCAGATATTAGAAATATAATGAAGTATTCAGAAAGTATAATATTATATGAATAAATCTTGATAGGATCTATAAGCAGGGACTTGTATGGTAGAAATTCTGAATTGGTGAAGTAGTATGGCTTTCAATAGTCATACTAGCTAATGTTTAATTCAGAAAAGAAACTATTATCAAAAGATGCAGATTGAGTCAGATATACATAAATTCATTTCATAGAGAGAATTAGTAATACCAACTTGGCTTAACAGCTAACTAGATTAGGAGGATCTGCTTTGTGAAATATCTGAGAAGATAGAATATGGAAAACTAGTAGAGAGTATAGTAGAAACTAAAGTTGTACAAATATCTACAAGAGTTTAAACTAGGTAAATTCACAAAATGAGTATAGACTACTCTAGTAAGTATACTTTTAAGATTAACTAGAGCTTTGCAGCTTATAATATGTTAGGTATATACATTTTGAAAGAACCTAAGTTATGTAGTAAATAGATCTATGAGTAAGTCAGCTGGCTTAAGCAGTTGGATATAGTAATAACATTAGTTTGGAATGAGAAGAAGAGTTAATAATTAGAGTATTTAAATAGGTAACCTACAGGCGAGTTGCAGATATAGTAGTATAGTATAGAACTAACAGATAGTCAATTGTCTATATGACGAACTACTTAATATATTAAATTAGACAATGACTAAAGTTATATGTATAGCTTGTTGTATAGTTTTGCCATTTTGCTAACAAGTATAAAACTTAAATCAACTTGATAAATAACTCGAATAGTATTTTTTTAAATAAACTAATTTATTAAACTACTGTTATTCTAATTTTTTATGTAACTAGAAATCTTCTTATAAGAAATTTCTAATTATATAAAAATTAAATATTTATAGCATTTTGCAATAAAGTATAATACTAAGATTTTTGTAATAATGATAAGTTAAAAATTTCAGAGATTTAGATTTTATATTAATTATATATTTTAATAAACAATTATATATATTGTTTAAATTTCGAAAAATCAAAAATTTGCAGATGATTATTTATTTATTTTCTGTAAGAAGTTTAAAATTATAGCAGAAAGAATTTTATAATAATTATATAATATAGATAGCCTTTCGAGCTATCTGTATTCTATGATTATTAAGAATTTCTGCTGTAATTTTTAAGCTTTTAAGAAATAAATTAATATAATTTTTTTTTTTGTTAAAATATAAAAAATAGTTTTATTTTGATTTTTGTTTAAAAATTTAATTAATTTTATAGGTTTTAGTTATAGTAATTAAAGTTATAAAATTATTAACTTATAAAATAAAATAAAATAAAATAAAATATTATATTTTAATATTTTTAAATAATTATCTTTTAATATAAAAATTATTAATTTAAAAATATAGAATATTAGTTCTTTTAAAACATTTACTTAATAAAATTTATAATATAATATATTATTATATTATAATAATAAATAATAAACTTTGACAATATAAATATTATATTTTTTAATCAAAATATATTATATTATTATATAAATATTTATTACTAAAAAATTATCCAATATAAAATTTATTATTATTAACAACTTTGATTTATATACGAAATTAACTTATTTAATAAAAAATATATATATATATAAAACAAACAATATGATAATTATTTTGTTGAAAAAATAATTAAAATCAAATGATTTTTTTTACACCATTCGATTTATCTTAATATAACGAGAAGAATAATAGAAAAATATTCTAATTCTAATTAACTAAATCACAAAAATAATCAAATTACAAAATAATCAAATCATACTCTATAATCAAAATATTGCACCTGATTAATATTTTAATAACTATATAATTAAAAAAAACTTATGAGAATATTCTGGTTAGTACTTTAGTAATTTTAAAAAATTAGCAAATTATAAATACATTAATCTCGTAGTTATGATATAAGAATAGAAACAATAGAACATCATCAATTACGTATTATTAGAAGAAACTTTTTAGAAGTAAAGTCTTTAGATTTTTTGACGAAACTCAAATGACACTTTATTTACTTATGATGAATCGCATGACTTAAGAGTTTTTAAAGGTAAAAATGCGTTAAAAAAAAAATTTCAAAAAAAAACCGAATTTTTACGTAACATAAAAATTATACGCCACCAAAATCATTTGTTAAACAATTTTAATCAAAAATTTCCAAAAAAAAAATTATGACCGATTTTTAACTGATTTTGATTGGAGAAAATAAAATTTCGGCCGATTTTATTGGATAAATAATAAATATAAAAATAGATAATACGTATTATTATACGTATTACTAGCCACGGTACCAATAAATATTACGTAGATAGATAAAATCATTGTTAAAAAAAATATACTTTTTGGGAGTTAGGGGGGGTGTACGTACATCATAACCATTATATTAGATAACATCCAGAAGGGAGGGAACGTATCTAACAATTTTACAAAATTGTAATAGAGTAAATTTTTATTTTAGTGTTAGAAACAATTTTTAAATAGTTTAAACCAAAAAAAAAAAAAAGGATTGTTTCAATCTTTACTAAAATAGGATTATCAAACCTTTTGATGGGATCGAAAAAATTGTATGTAAATACCTTATTTAAGTAAAAGAGTACTGAAAAAGTCAAAGAATTTGGGAAATATTACATAATAGAACAGGGATACTCAGAATGAAAGGACAAAAAAGGATTCATTATTACTGGTAAACAGAACAACAAACAATAGGGGACTTTGAAGTAAGAATATGAAACGAAAATCTAGAATAAAGAGACACATACCAAATAAGTAAATTGTAACCAAGTAAAACATCAAAGTAAAACTTTCAAATTTGATAAAAACATACAATAATCGACATCATGGAATTTGGGCACGAACGTTTAAAGAGTATCTAAAGGACATAAAAGTCTAATAGATACGTAAAACCTCATGTCAATAGGTTAATCATTTAATAAACATAAAATTAGTAGATAATGCACAAGATCATTAGATAAAAAATAGGCGTTTTTTCTGGTTAGAGTAATGAACATGGGGTTACGTAGAAGTAATGAATATGGGGCTATATTGTTTTAAGACTATAATGTGCCACATAAAAAAAAAAGGATAGTAGGCGATTTTTTACAATAGTGAATTTTAGGTCATCGAGAGCAATTTAAGCAATTTATAAATAAATATTTATTCAAGTTTTAATACTTGTTATACATCATTTACATGAATTAAATTAATCAAATTTTTGTTCCCAATAAACCTTTCATAATACCTATTTAAAACGTTTCATGTCTGTATATGTTCATGTGAACTAAGCACTATGTTGTACTCTTGTTAGAGGCTTTTATGCAGGACTAAATGATGACATTAAAAGTAACATTAGCACTGCAGTATACCCCAGCCATCATTAGCTAAAAAGTAGTGCGGTTATTTTTTTTTGGGTGAGGATTAACCAAGTATTTGTTTATCTTATATAATATCTCGAATCGTTATCACATTTTGATCAACAAACACTATAAATTGTAGATAAATTTCTCCTCCTTGACAATTTTAAAAAAATTTGTTAGTATCATTTTATCATTACATCATACATCTTGATTACTGTAAATTACTTTAAATTACTGGAATTACTGTATTTAAAAAATTAATATATAATTCCTATTTTGGAATAGTATATATATATATATATATATATATATATATATTATTTTTTTTTATAAAAACTCATCGAGGACCATCTCGACCTTTCCACCGTTCAAATAAAAAAGATATTTGACGATCAAAAGTTCAGATTTAATAAAAATCTAAAATATCCAAGCTTTCAAAAATCATAAAATGCAATCACTTTCACCTTGTTCTGTCGTAATTACCGGTCAATTAGGATTTGGAGGATGTGGGTCCCCAAGGTAATTTATCTTTTTGAGTATCCGTTATTATTTATAACTCTTAATTTTTAAATATCTGATATTAATTATTATTATTTTATTTTAGATTAAGACAAAAATCTTCCTTTAATAACTCATCTCCAACAACAACTACCTCTCATCAAAAATCATCTCGCATCGTTCAATCCTTTTTATCTTCAGTTTTACAATTGGCTTCAAGTACGAACTCTACTGTAGAATTTACAAAACGTGAATTCACAAAGTCGCAGGTCGATAAATCGAATCCAAAATCTTTATTATCAGAAATGTTAAAAAAACATATCGAAAACAAGGAAATTAATAGAGGAAAACCTATAATAATAAAAAAGCAAACAGATCTTACTATCGCGACAGATACGAATAATGACTTTGGAATCTCAAATGATGCGATCACAACTAATAACGAAATTAATAATACAAAAAAAGTTTTGAAATTTGGTAATTGTCCGTTGGTAGTTCGTGAAAAATCTTCAACGCAAGTGAATGATGAATCTTCAAAAAAACCTGATGTATTCACTGATGAATCTTTAAAAGTAACTTCGACAACGGTGATTCGTCGTTTTTCACCATTACCTGTAACATCTCAACTTGAAGAAGAAGAAGATGATGATGAGTCAGAATGTGATATATGTGATGGTTCCGATTGTGATGATGGTTATGTTGAGGATGACGAGGATGATGATAATGATGATGATGATGATGATGATGCTTCAGAATATGAAGAAGATTCTGACAAAGTAGAATATGATGAAAATTATATAGAAAATTACTTTAAAGAATCTTTGACTCAAAATAATGTAACATCGACGTATACAAATACTTTGACAACAGAATTGGCTGATGGAAAACCCATCACTCCCACCATAGCTTCAACGACATCTCCTACTTCATGTCATTCTACTACATCATATTATTCAACTGCCATATCAATATTTACGCCAACTAATAACGCATCAACTTATAATTATAAATCAAAGTCATTACCTTTTCCACCAAGAAGTGGTATTCTCGTAAATAGGCAACCAGGAAATTTACGAAAAAAAGGAATTCCTATCCCACTATCAAATACAAATAATCATCATTTTGATCTTGGTAGTAAAAGTCATCATTATGGTAGTAGGGATAAATTTCATCATAAACGAAAACTTTGTCGTCGCCATAGTCATAATAGTGGTGAAAAAAATATCAATTTGGATTTGGAAAGGATGAAAGATGATGATATATTATTTTGGCCAATATCAACTTAAAAATTTTATAGAATTATCCGTATATATATATATACAATTTATCATTTATCAACTCATTTATCTGTATTAGTTATTATAAGATTATGGCATTTAGAGGTTATAGGTTTTTTGTATGAATATTATAGACGTACAGTATTAAAAATCTAATATCAATATATATATATATATATATATATGTATTAGATCCATTGTAAATATCTTAAGTTTTTTGTCATAATTATAGTTCAGTAAGTTAAGTTTTGTTAATAATAATAATAAAAATAAAAAAAAAAAAAGTTTTATTTTTTTGTACATATAAATAATTAAAGGTTAAATTTCTACGTATACCTATACATTTATTTCTTCCATAATTAAATTATTATTATCGAATTTATTGTTCAATTTTTTACCAATAAAATCTCTAATTTTATGTAATTCCCATACTATACCAAAAACTATAGAAAAAGTTACCAATAACCCAATATACCATATCGTTGATTTCGGTCCACGTGATACATCAAAGAAGTAGTATATCCAATAACGGTTTCTAAAAAATATATATATATATTATTAGCACATTATGATAAAAAAAAAAAAGAAATTTTAAAGTTTTATTAATTAATAATAAAACTTACATTTCAAAATTTATAAAAACTAGAAGAAGATATAAAATTTCAATAAAAGTTGAAAACCATAAGAACTTCCAAATAATTATTTGTCGATTTAAGAATAATTCTAAAATCATTGTTACAAAATTTATACCGTGAACTGAAGCATTTAACCATTGCATGAACGCTGTTAATCGTAAGGAACTTTTTGACAGAAAAACCCAATAAACTAAAAATATAATAGCACTAAAAAATTAACAAAATTTATAAATTTAATTCCATATTATCGTTATATTATTATATTTAATATTCTTGAAATCATCAAAGAACTTACTGATATTGTACAACTGTATGATAAAGTAACCAAAATAGCCAATTTAATAATTTTGGTTGATTATAAAAAGATATTGGTGTATGTGGTTTAGGAGTATTAATGTATCGAAACGAATGGTAGAATGCGGTCTGAATTTTTTAACAAATCTTATTAGCGTTAGTAAATTTATTTATATCAGAACATAATTATATATATTAAAGATGAAAAAAAATTAAAAACTTGCGGTGAAATATGCAACTAATCCTATATACCCCAAATTTGTAAATTGTACGAAAAAACTTTTGTAATTTTGGGTATATATAAATCGTAAAATAATAATTATCCATGAATATAATGTTACTACACCACGAAATATTGTTAAAGTAATTGGACTTATGAACCATGATGTCACTGATAATTCGGGGTTAAAATCATGATAACAAAAAAGATGTGCTATCTTTGATTCTTTTACTTTGGTCTCTTCGGTCATTTTTTTTTTTTTTTTTTTTTAATGAAATACAGATATCGGTATGATCCTTCATTTTGGCAACATCTTTTCTCCTTATAAGTTTTTTAGCAAAACTAAAGCGAAATTTTTCTTATTTAGGAATTTGTCAATGTAACATGACATAAACTTAGAACACAAACTCTAAAACACAAACTCTAAAACACAAACTCTAAAACAAACTCATCACAAAACTCATCACAAAACTCTAAACAAACCCCACACAAAACTTTGCCCCAATCCTTCACAAACGGTTTATTGTCCTCCCTGGCACGTGATAATATGCATTAGAATATCTGTTCGTAATAATCGATGACGAATATGTGTCATGCATAGATCTAAAAGAATTGATTCTTTATCTACTATAAATACCGATATAGATAAGTTAATTACTTATTTTGTAATAATGGACTTAAACTCGATCTTTGAAACAATAAATTCTGTAGAAAAAGGCGATGATAATGATGGGTTTTACGATAACTTGTACGAAATACTTGGTTGCACTTCTTCTTGTACTGTAAGTTTTATTATTATATATTTTACTATATACTTTATATATAATCAAAATTTTGAAATGTCGTACTTTTAAGACAGAGCAAATTTCTGCGGAATATAAAAAACGCGCGCTAAATTGTCATCCTGATAAAGTTAAAAAAGATGGTATGATTCATTGATTAGATTTTTTTTCTAAATCATTTTAATTAACATACATTCTAAATCTTTCGAAATATTCTAAATCGTTCTAAAACATTCTAAATAATTCTAAATACATTTTAAATCATTCTAAATACATTCTAAAATTATTATAAATACATTCCGAATACATTCTTCTAAATCATTCCGATTGCATTTTAAACAATTCCGAATACATTTTAATCATTCCGAATACATTCTAAACAATTCCGAATCAATTATGAATTAAAAAGAAAATACTGAAAAGCAATTTTACCAATTATCAACTGCTTATACTATCCTAACTGACGATGTTGAACGCTCTCAATACGATAAATGGCGTTCAAGTTCAATTAAGATTCCTTACAAAATGTGGAAAGATTTAGTTATTAAAAAAGGACATGTATGTAGATAATTTTGTTTAACAATGATTTAATATATATATATATATATTATTATTATTTTTTTAACTTGATAAACTTGATAATATTTTTTTTTTTATTGCTTCAGACTATTCATTGGAAATCACCACCAAAACAACCACTTAAAATAACTGATTCTTCATCTACTGAACTTTCTTCTAATAATATTAATCATAATATTTCTTCTCGTACTACTTATAAAGGAAAAAAATGTCGTCAAAATGATTTATACGAAAAATTTAGAAATTATGAAATATAAAAATTAATACTTATCATCTAATACGTATAAAATATGACTATATGGAATTATAGAAACTAACGGACGTGCGTATGTAAGGGGCTAAAAAATTGGCGCATATTTTGTGTTATGATTTGAAATAATATCATATTTTTTGTACCAATAAAAAAAAAAAAAGAAACGACAAACCAATTGTTATAATTATTGTTCTTTACTTTATTGTTTACGATTTAATCTCTATTTAATGCAAAAAAAAATATACATTATCAACATTATTGGATTAAATCTAAAATCTAAAATGAATTTAATTTCGGAAGAATTTTAAGAGTACTCCGATTAAGAATTTTTTTTTTTCATCAATATTAGGAAATTATGGAGATGGGCGAATATAATTCACAAAAGTGGTTTTTTTATTCTATAAACAATAAATTTTTGTTGATTTAACAAGGGGTATTGTGGGAGTTTTTTTTTATGTAAGTATTCAAATCGCAAACTTATTACAAACTTTCTAAAATAACCAAATTTTTACAACTTTACTTAGAGCTAAAAAAAAATTTATTTATTAGTTTTAAGATTAAAGTTAAAGTAATATTAAAACTTAAAGCTAAAATTAGAATTGGAATTAGAGTTAAAAATATTATTTAAAAATAGAAAATCTTGTATAACTATAGTAGAAATAGCAAATTATCATATTAGAAATAGTAATTTTTTAAATAAATACAAGTTCATAAGATACTTTTATAAATAAATATAAGGTTTAAATAAGTAATTAAATTGAAATATAATGATAGTCAACTCTTTCCACTGATTACCTAAACTATTACAGAGTAAAAATTTTTTATTACAAAATAATTTACAACTCCAGGAAACCTAGCAAAATAGTAGTTATTAAATAGAAGCGTGAGTTGTATAGCCTAGTATTCTTTATATAAGAGGCAGAAAGATCTAGCAGATAATAATACTATTATTTTGGTCGAAAGTTTACATTATAGTGTTTTAAAGAAAAAGGAGAAGAAAAGAAGTAGTAGAGAGGAAGAAGAAATAACAAACAGTGTTTTGCACTGGGCAAACACTCCAACACTTTTTCTCTTTATAACTAGTTTTTGCAAACAACCTCCTCTATCCTTTGACTAACAAAACTAATATGATGACTATAGCTTTTTTCATTTTGAAAAAAGTAGGGATTCTGGCTCACCTTTAACAAAGAATCAGCACTCATACTATCTTCTATTTTGAGTAAGTTATGTCTTGATTGTTTATAAGTTAATTAATACATGTGAAGCCAATACAGATCTGCTTACATAAATAGAATGATAGCTAACGAGAAGTTATACTTGAGATTTATAGTATATGTATTAGTACTATAAATAATTTTTATCTTTTATGCCTTAGTATGAGCTATAATAGTATGTTCTATCTTGATTATCTTTTTTTCTGCCTTCTTTTTCTTCTTTCATTTTATTTCTGTATGTTTTTTTTTTCGTATAGGCAGTTTTTTCCTATATTTTGTTATTTTCCTTTTTATTATTCTTGTTATTTGTTTTTTTCATTTGTCAGTTAGAATACAAATCCTTCAGCTCAGGAAGCTAAGAGAAGAAGGTTAGAGAATTAGGTAATCTTGATAAGAACAGTATATAGTAACCTTCTGTTGATCAATTGAACATGACTTTGCTTTGGCAAACTGTTCTCTTAGGAGGAAAATTTGATTATTGCAGTTAGATCGTACCTGAACACCATTTGGCAGCTGAGTGAGTTCAGAATTGTAAGGAGAGAACATTTATGTAGCTAGCTTAGTTTAGTTTATATTTATGTTATAATATTATTATGTTTTCTTTTAATAAATGAAAGGCAAGATCATCTAAGTTCCAAAAAAAAAAATAAATTGAAATATAATATAAAATAAAAAAAAGACAAAGTAATAAATATAATAATGAAGAGTGTGAGCAATCGTATAAAACATAAAGAATTAAAATTTTATTATTATGATTTTACATGTTATAAATAATATAAAAATATATAAATATTGATATAAATATATAATATATAAATATATCGATATACTAGATCAGTACTTAGGAGGGTAAATTAGTATAATTTTTTATAATATTTTATCATGTAGCTTCTTGTTAAACTTTTCTTTAATAAAATGATAAGCAAGATCATCTAAGTTTAAAAAAAAAGTAAATAAATAAATATATCGATATATAAAAAAGAATTATTTTAAAAAAAATTACTTGTTAAAAAATTTTTTTTAATTATTAAAAACGGTTTTTCAAAAAATTTATTGTAAATCACATGATAAAATTAAATCGTAATTTTCTCACGATCATGTGATTGTCTCATTACACCGTTTTGCTACGAGTAACCCCATATCATGAGATATTCGAACTTTTAAATTTATTTAAACGCTAATATCTCGAGGTCCAGTGATTAGAATTTAGCGATTTTTGGTACCATTCGATCCATCTCGATGAGATAGTTAGAATGGTTAAATTTTGTTTGCTAGATCACGAGATATTTGCAAGGAAAAAAAAACTCCACGATTTAAGACTATAGTCCTAAAACTAGTCCTAGGACCATGATCTAAATTATAATTTTTGACTTTTTAAGACTGAGACTAGACCAGAAAGACCGGTCTCAGACTGGTCTCAGACTGGTCTTAGGACTAACTGTGGTCGTTCAGTCTAGATCAAATCACATAACATCCCTACCAAATTATTTTATCGGTTATATTGTTTTGGAATTAAATCACTTTTAGATAAAATTTTATTCACGCATCGCATTATCGCATTACAAATTGAGTCTAAAATATTTACATAATTTTTTTAATCTATAATTACTATAGCCGCACTAAGATAATGAATAGTAAATGTGTTTTTGTCGATCTGTATTTGCTGGATCATGAAAATCCCAAATACATTCATGTAATAAAGTTTTGCGTAGTCTATTAACCGATTGGTTGTCAAGATATTTGGAAAGTAATATTAACAAACACATTATGAGATAAAAATATATAGTTTTGAGATTCAGTCATCAGGAAAGAGCTGCAAAGAACAAGAAAACGAAATAATAATAAAAAAATTTTTAGTGAATCTTTTGAAATTTTCGACGTTATGCAAGTATTTCATTTATGCTTTTGTCAATAGTAGATAGGCATTAATATAAATCCACCATATAATTATTAGTTTTCTCAGAATTTACTCTTAAAACTCGAATACTTTACTCAGTTTACCTACCGGATCTTACTGAGTAAAACATTATGTTGCTAAGAAAAAAAAAAATTACATATTTTCGATCATATATAATCTTTTGAAGTTGATAAAAATTTGGTTATTTTAGAAAGTTTGTAATAAGTTTGCGATTTGAATACTTACATAAAAAAAAACTCCCACAATA